CATACTTTCCAATGATCTTTTCATTAATTGATGAGGATTACACATTCATCGCCACTCATATGTCACTGCGTTTCAATTGCAGTCGTGACCAAAGCCGCGGGATGTATCATCATTGACACATCCTCCTTTAATAGACATAACCTGCATCCTCCTTTCTATTTCCCGCGCTTCACATCCACAAATCATTCATTGGCCTTCTTCGTGCGTATATCCGGGTGGCCGTTCCGCCGCCTACGGCGGGCGGCCACCTTACCCTAGTATATATATATATATATATCTGCGTACCTCTTTCTTCACTTCGAAGAAAGCGCACGGCTCCTTGTGCTCTTTACAGACCCGGCCATTTCCCCCCCATCCCTCACTCGCCGCTCCTCCATCACCGGACCTTGTGCCCTTTTCGCCAGCACGATCGCATTCGTCCACCCACGCGAAAATCTTACACTGCTCCCTCGTACTCGTTCGTGGGCAGCAGTAGAATTGCCGCCCCAGGTTCGGCCCCTGCCTTGTTGTGTTGAATCCGTGGTTGGCTGCGTGCCGACAGGAGAATGGAGACTTTCATGTTACGGCCCTTCTGTGAGAGTAGCGAGTAGCGAGCGTTAGGGCGGGAGGGAGCTACGAATCCCTTCACTGATAACACGTGTCTCTACGCATACATTGATTTCATATTTGCCATATTTGCCGGGGTGGAAGTTGCGAACGGAAAGACATCAATTTTGAAACTTAGTCTAGCCTACATGTCTACAATAGCAGCGGTGTATTGTAATAAATATATGCTGCAGACAGACGCGCTCCTTCGTGCCACGTGGTGATATTGCCAAGCACACGCATATCACATTATCACGCCCACCAGGATAAGGCCACCCGTTCGTCTCCGACGGCACTCGCCAACGTTCCGGTACGCACGATCAAACGCACTGGGTCTGTTACTTTCTTAAATCCCGATCCATGAAATCTCAAATACCTTTCTTCCCCTCGCTGCCTCGGGCAGGTTTTGCGTAGGCATGACCCATAGCGAGGGGGGGTGCGACCCATAGCGAGCAGGGCTAGACTCACCCTCAAGGGACCGATACCTTCTTGCTGCGGCGCACCCGCCGTGAGGCGTGCGTAGTGGTGGAGTTGGGNGAGGGGACAGGTGGTGACGAGCTGATTGGGCTGGTAGACCCTTCGGCGCGAGAATTTTTAGACCAAGAACCCTAAGTGCAACGAGGGAGAAAGCGAGGAACTGACTGGGATGGACAGCAACGAGAGCGTGTACAAAGCGGAGCGGGTCGAGTTTCGTCTTGCTAGGACTGGCCATAGCGGCACCGGAGCAGCGGCACCGGAGCAGCGGAACCCGAGCAGCGGAACCGGAGCAGGCGGACGGCATCGAACCGTGGCGCACGGACNCGTCTTGCTAGGACTGGCCATAGCGGCACCGGAGCAGCGGCACCGGAGCAGCGGAACCCGAGCAGCGGAACCGGAGCAGGCGGACGGCATCGAACCGTGGCGCACGGACAAACATCTCTTGTGTTTTGTCAAATATTTTTCCGATTTTTCCCTGAATACAAGTGATGGTGATGTGATGGGTGTGTGTGTGTCGCTGGTTTTGTAGAGAGGCGCGGCAGAGATGGCGTGGATAACCCGGGTGCTTGTAATTATGTACCTGCATCGTGGAAGACCCCTTCAATGTGGAACGATTCCTAGCCAGTGTCGATGTTTACACTGCTGAGCCTAACACAGATGATCTGGATAGATTCGGGTGATTGTCTATTGCAATGATGGCATTTGGTTGGGTGTTATTCTTCGTTGCATGTCCACGGACTCATTCTGACAGCACTTCAGACAGCAGCTGCATGCCCCGAGCTTGTGTACCATGCGACCGGTCGCCCCGGTGGTCTACAGTTGGCGCCCGCAGTTAAGAAACGCATATTTCAGGTCCAGCCTCGAATTCTTACTGTGGGCTATAAACTCAGCGTATGTCGTTCAATTTCTTATTTCAAGTTCCTTATTTTTTCGTGCAGCCAAATCCTGCTGATTTTTTTTTTTTTTGCCTTCCGACAATTGCAGATCAGATGTACCTCAGAAAACGTTCACTTAATGTCTCATACTCTACATGAATATTAAACCAATACAAAGGACAACAACATATGTAGGACTTATTTCTACTGTCACTTACATCGTAAAAATATCTCCTCTTCAATTTGAAATAAATGACAATCCTCATGGTATCCTACATGCGTTCGTAAATATACTACTGCGTTCATGTCCTCTTGTAAAACCTCAAATCCGACAGATGCTTTGATCCATGCTACATCTCCGTGTTGGAAAAGCCCTTTCTTCTCCGTTCATGATAACATCTTACCCTATTCTACGCAAATCTGTCACATCTACTCTCAAACAAGACGCCAACTTCAAACGAAAACGCGTTCTACGATGCGTCTACACTCCATCCCCGTATCATTGGCGTTGACTGGCTCGAGGTCTGAATTTCTTTAATCGGCAATTTCTTATTTCTCTGCTTGCATACTACACAACGTTCCAAATATACAAATGATTTGCACTGCTTTCCTCGACGTACTCAACCCCGATTCTCACTACCGACGGCTGCACGTAAGGCCNATTTACGCGTGCTTTCGTCACAGTGCAGGATGACGCGGTAGCCGTACTCCTGCCACGAAGCGGGGTGAGAACTGCGACTAATTACCCCTCCGNATGCTCCCTTCCTTTCGGTCTACCTCTAGGAGAACCCACGCCCCAATTGCGACGTCTTCATCCGTGCTGTAGGACTCCAACGGCATCTTCATGCTACATTTACGCGTGCTTTCGTCACAGTGCAGGATGACGCGGTAGCCGTACTCCTGCCACGAAGCGGGGTGAGAACTGCGACTAATTACCCCTCCGAACCAACCCAACCCGAGTTTCACGAGAACCCCCACGCTTCACTTTGGGAAGGGGGGGAGAGGGGGAGAGGGGGAAAGAGCGAGAGAGCTGTGGGGTTTGTATATTATTCGACACACTCCCCCGTAAACCCTCGTTTCTCATGTAGTAGGGCAGCGTTCGCCACTGTGTTTCTTATTGAGAATTTTCATATTGTGTGACCCAGATTGAGCTATGTTTCTTAACCCTATTTTCTTATTTNACGCTTCACTTTGGGAAGGGGGGGAGAGGGGGAGAGGGGGAAAGAGCGAGAGAGCTGTGGGGTTTGTATATTATTCGACACACTCCCCCGTAAACCCTCGTTTCTCATGTAGTAGGGCAGCGTTCGCCACTGTGTTTCTTATTGAGAATTTTCATATTGTGTGACCCAGATTGAGCTATGTTTCTTAACCCTATTTTCTTATTTTTCGTGAAAACGTGAGCCTAAATTTCTTAACAAAATGTTTCTTAACTGCGGGCGCCAACTGTAGTGGTATCCTCGTAATCCGCTAGTTGTAGAGGTCGTAAGTTCGAATCCCCATGGGGTGAAAAATCTACGAAATTTGCGGGTGAAAGCGAAATATAGCTAAGAAAACTCTCGTGAGTACCAAACTTCGACGTTAGCACCGTTGACGAGGGAAAGGGACGGCTGGACCCTTCTCGCGATAAAATAAAGTTCAGCACACACCGCAGGAGGAAGGTGGGGCATGAAAAGGAAAAAGCCCTGGTGTTTACCCCCTCCTGTGTTGTCGTTGTTCTTGTTTTTCTCCCATCATTGGACTCTGTCGTCTGCCCCTCTGGCCCCTATCCTCCACTTCTACTAGCTAGACGACCCAGCCGGGGTTATTAGATATATTGGGGGTACTCGTAGCATAGTATGACGGTTAAGATGTTATGTACGTACGTACGAAAGTTACAGTGATGAGATGCGGAAGAATAGGAAACTTCTACATATATTCCTTGGTTGCGAGAGGTATTTGGTGAAGGTTCAGAGAGATTCGTTGAGTGACAAAGAGTGAAGGCGTGACCAGATGCCGTGATGGTTTGACGAGCACTGGCACGCCCGCGGTTAATCCTATACTTTGCAACACGTTTTCCAACACGTCTGCACGACTTTACCCATCCACGCCCCGTCATGGGCCACCCGCGCTAAACTCCAAGCACATAGAACTGGGCCACCCGAATTATCGATCA